AAAATATATAGTTCTACTCTTAGCATTTGTATTATCTAAAGTTAAATTTATTACTTTGCGAACAATATCATAATCTTCTAAAACTTCAACAATTTTATTATAAATTTGTTGACCACTATGATCGACATCCATTAATCTAAATTCTAATAAATATTTATTTAATTTACATTTGTTATCAAAATAATGACTAGTCACACAAATATAATCTTGTTTAGCTCTACCACTCCGAATATCGGCGGTTAGAGTCACATTAACATGACAACTATGTATTTTATTTCTTAATTCTAATTTCATTTTCACAAACAATTTTATTAAAACATTTCTAGTTGAATTTTTAGAATAAGTTTTAAATTCTAGAAAAAAAAAATTTTTAATAAACCTTTCAAAATATTAATCTTCAGCCATATTAGTAGGTTGATCAGTTGTAGCAATATATAAAGTTAATTGTCCCTACATACATCAAAATTATAGCACCAAGTATTACCCATACTAGTTATTTGAGTTTGATTGGTTTCTCTATTTCTATGATGATTTATATGTTTACTAGTATGCTTTTTTAAAGTACTAGTACCATTACTTGCATCACATTTATAAATATTTCCACAATTCTTGCATCTTGCTTTCTTCACTTGAACTCCATTTTCTATCTCGTAAAACTTTTCAAAATGCACCCAAACATTTGATTTGTGCTTGTCGTCGGTTCCGACTGCAATTGATGAACCTGCTTCTACTTCAGATAGAGTTGGACGAGGACGACGATTACAAGAATGACCTCTAGAACCACCAGGAGTTGTAGCAGCATGGGGAGAAAGGGGAGAATATTATGAGGTGTATCAAATTCTAAGAATGGAAAAGCGAGACTGTTTGAATCTACTGCATTTATGTTAGTGAATTCAGGGGGACTAGAATAATTTTCTTCATCATCGAAATTGATGGTGGGATGGAAACATCTATCCATTCTAGTTAAAAAAAAAAAAAAAATGGATATAAAAGAATTAAAGAAGGAGAATTGGAATTTGGAAATATGAATTGAAAATTGCAAAAACTAATAAAAATTAAAATGAGAGCAAATTGACAACAAAGAGATTGAGAGATTTTTATTGAGAAAATGAGAGAATTTTGGATGTGGGGAAATATGAGAAGTTTTGCCCTATTTATAGAGAAAAATGGGAAAAGAAAATGACCCAAAAGACCTCTCCAATTGCTATAAAACAGCTGTATTTGAAGGGTAAAATGGGTTTTTGCAAAAAAATAATAATTTAATTTTTAATTTTTTTCATCCAACCTGCGGGTCAACTCGGCAGGTTGACAACCGCCAACCCGGTGGGTTGGACTGGTTATTTAAAAAAAAAATGACCTGCCGAGTCACCGAGTTGGCCTATGAAGGCCCAGCCCGCTTGGGTTAAACCCGGGCCACCCTTAAGCTGGGCCGGCCTAGGTCGGTCCCAGGTTGAGGCAGGCCAAGCTAGGGTTGACCCGCCTAACCCGACCCATTTTTTCCACCTTTATCCACCACCATGTTCATAATTTATTCACATATATCATAAATCATTTCTCAGTCTCATCATGAACAACACATCATTTGAATGGTGATCAAGCATCAAAAGACAATAAGCCTAGAAATAAACACCCAAATCATGCAATTAGAACTAAAAGCAACTCAAATAATATAAATTGAACTATTGTATCAAAGATTACATCAAAACCCTAACTCAATAGTTTAGTTCATGCTCAAAATTGAAATAAAACAAGAGGAACATGGAGAATCTAGGTTCATTATTGAAAATAAACACAAAAGATGAAGAATCTTCTCTAGATCTTGTTCAATCTTGAATTCTCCTACCAACCTAAGGAGAAGGAAATTTCGTTGGAAACACCCGACAAAAAGAACACTCCACCGATCGAACAAAAATTGGAGGGTTTGGTCACCTGTGTTAGTAAGTAATCTATCTACGCAGCGGAAACAAAAAATATAATATAAGGATCGTTTACATGAGCCAAGATCAAGGGTATAATTTTACAATTTATATTAAAGTAAAATCTACATAAAAGGTTATTCATGAGTTTAGAACCATACGCACGTTTGGAGGCTCCACCACGTTTGTCTTTGAACGTTTTGCTACCAACCCAAGCGTAGGATCGAACCCACGTAGTTCACACGAAGACAATCACAAAAGAACCAAAGAGGGATTTGCTAGATCCTCTTTGGCTTTAAGATTAAGAAGAAAGGAAATCAAATTGAATTGATTTTAGGCAAAAAGTGTTTCTGCCGTGGGAGAGAATGAGAGGGGCTGCTGTGTGTGTTTTTATTTTAAAGAGAAAAATCAATTAACTTTCAATTAACACACACTTTTCTTTTATAGTAAATCAAGTTGCCCTATTTTCATATGGAATAGGCTTGAGCTCCAACCCAAACATTCCATCTTACCAAACAATCCCAATTTGATATTTTATTTTCCATCATTATCTCAATTAAAATCAATTAATATATATATTTAAATATATATTAACATTTAACAATAATGATAATATATTTAAATATGTGCAAACACATATTTAAACGTAATTTCACTTATTTAATTTTTCTAACAAATTAAATAAAGGCTACGACCTCAGCAAATTTAATTGCACTGTAAAATTACCAAAATACCCTTTCGCCTAAAAAGACGAAAACGCCATTCTCTCTTTTTGGCTCTTAAATTATCTTCTATGTATGTGACCCATAGGATCCACATCATACCGGCAGTGTATAGTATCGCTATTAACATCAATTAATCGTCTTACTAATACACAGACCAAGATTGACCCCTAACAAGGCATCATGGCCACCCGATAGATTTGGATTCAGCAAAATAGCTACCTATCAACGATATGGTTACCGTACAATTCGATCCTTTCATCATACGTTATCTCGACAAGACGAAGGTATAGAAATAGTGTCAACCTTCGGTTACTCTCTGCAATTTTTGCTTTCAAAGGTATCTTGCAAATTCATGAAATTTAACTGACAGTTTTCAAGTCTTCTTTAGTTTCCTTTAAATTGGGTTTTCTGAGGAGTCAAACTGTCATTGTTGGCATGGTTTTTAATACTTTTGTGTATTTTTTGTATGATTTATACTCAACTTTCAAGTTTTGCATTTAGGTTTGTTAATGTTGGGACTTGGGAGGCATGAGAGTTAAATTGCCAAACTTTATACCTTACAAGTTTTTACAAAATTTTAAGATAGACAAATTACCTAAAAAATAATTAGAGATAATAACTCGGATGACGGATATTACAAAGTTTGATTTAAAATTTCAATTACATTACATCACAATTGATGTTAAAATGAGGGAATTCTCACAAATAAAGGCATGATTCCATTATTTCACTTTATTTTGGGCAATTCACTTAATTTTCGTTGTTTTTACTTGTTAATTATTTATTTCAAATGCTTTAATTTATATATTCTTTTGTATTGATATTGTAGATGTCATCTATCAGTGAAAATACCAGTACTATTTGTGGGACTTCAAATGCCGCTCATACGTCGACACCAGTGACAAGTGGCAATGTGAATCCTACTTCTGAGAATGTCGTGTCTCCATTAGGAACACTACCACCAACACCACCACCACCTAGAACATCCAAATGTGTGAGTTCTACTACTATTAGTATTAGGAAGAACGCTTCTAATATGTGAGGCCATTTCACTAAAAATGATTGTGAGAATAGGGAGAAAATGACAGCTTCATGTAATTATTGTGGGGCTAGTCTTGGTTGTGCAAGTAATAGTGGTACTACTGTTCTACGTAATCACTTAAACCGGTGTTATAAATACCCTTTCAATTTAGTGAACAAGAGACCAAAAACCTTAGTTTTTCAAAAACACTCAGGTGACTTCTCTAGTGGTGTTGCACTTACTTTCACCTCCTTACCTCATTCACTTGTGACTTGGAAATTCAATCAAGGTATGATTAGACAGGCTATAGCTAAAATGTTAAGTATTGATGAGTTACTGTTTAGGCATGTGGAGCATGATGGGTTCCAATACATGATTACTGTAGCACAATTGAGGTTTCAAGTTCCTTCTTGTACTACTGTGGCTAGAGATTGTTTGAACATTTATATTGATGAGAGACAAAAGATGAAAAATTATTTTTACTAAGTACTCTCATAGTATTTGTCTCACCACTAACACATGAACATCTTGTCAAAACCTTAATTACAAGTGTCTTACAGCTCACTTTATTGATGATAATTGGAAAATGAATAAAAAAATTTTAAACTTTTGTCCAATTACTAACCATAAAGGTTTAATTATTGGAAAGTCAATTGAAATATGTTTGACTAATTGGGGTATTTCTAAGGTGTTCACCGTGACTGTTGATAATGCAAGTTCTAATGATGTTGAAATAACTTATCTTAAACATTGGTTAAAACGTTGAAATGGAAGTGTGTTGAATGATTCCTTTCTTCACATGAGATGTTGTGCACATTTATTGAGTCTAACTATTAAAGAGAGGTTAAAAGATATGGATGACTCAATATTTAGAATTCATTCTACAATGAGACATATAAGGTCTTCTCCAGCGAGATTGCATATGTTTAAAGAGTGTGTAGAGCAAGAAAAAATTGAAACAAGCAGTCTTCTAGTTCTTGATGTAGAAAAAAGTTAAACCACCACGTGGTAGTGCTTTTAAGGTTCCATAATTATTTTATTTTCAAATAAAAATAAAACAGGTCAGATGCAGTTTATATTCAACACAACAAAACTCAATTTTTAATTCAATTAATCAAAAAAACTAATTAAATGTGCGAGCTATGTTACAAAATCATAACATCATCAACTCTACGACAGTTTAAATTGAATTAAAAAAGAAGTATAGTGTCATTTGACAACACTACTTGTCCGGTAAGACACGCAAATTACAATCCATATTGATCCACTAATTAAGCATTGCAATTTAATAGGTTTCTGGGTTTGCAGGAGAATTTGACCTTAATATACAAAAATTTATAGTGAAAATACTCTTAAGATGCTTGTGACTCGATCTCACTAACAACATAACACAAAAACCTACAGTTTACTGCTTTTGCTTCTTTTGTGCTGGCCCGGACGAAGTCCCAGCCTGTATAAAAAAGTTATCCAGAAAAAACTCAGGTTTATAGTCATCCAGAATGTTTATAAATGGCTATTTAAGCAGATATATATAACATTTTTCTTTAATTCTCTAACTCAATTATAGTTCCACCTGTAACAAGGAAGTCCTATTCTAAACTCTAAAGAACAACAAGAAAACAAATTTTATGAACAACCTAAGTAGATTATGACCATTTCCAGTTTTCCATAATTAAAGAACATAAATATTCAGTTTTGTTTTCTTTTCCCACTGCTTACTTGGAAATTCCATAGCCAATACTTCTTTGATTCTCCAACATTTCCCCATGACTACAGTAATACAATTAAAAGCATGCTTACCAAGCTTGATAGTTGCTCACTAATGTAGGTCAATGATCTCAACATAGCTTCAAGTATGTCCTTGGTAAGCTGAAATTTAACCTCAATTTCTCCCGAAGAAGACATACTATAATCTTGCAGCTGCAAACAAGAACAAGAATACTAATGGAAAAATTGGACACCATATGATGTACTTCTAAAAAAGTCAATAATATGAAACAGTCAAGTTATAGATACCCTGATCTATTCCAACTAAAGGGAAAGACTGTACTCCCATCTAAGACTGAGAACAGAGATTAATAATGTGAGACGCGGGAGCCAAAGGTGATTAAAAAGAAATACTCACAACTTTAATAACAGAACGTTATCGTTATCCTACTTCAACTACAATTTACACAAGAACTGCTTTCTCTAACATGTACAACAATAGCAAGCAGAAAAACACTCCCTGCACAAGCCTCGGAAGTATTTTGGCATATTTTCACTAATCAAAACTATAAACACTCAAAGGGCCCCAAACCCATGAAACAGAGAAACCAATACTTCAGTGATTCTATGATGACATTGATTGTAGGAATATTATAAGCAATGCTTCTTGGACTGTAAAGCAGTCTATCATCATCACTTCACTTTGTTATCTGGATCGCTAGAGAACATGAAATTTTTAAGTGCAATGATACATAACTAACTATCAACTAAAAATCTCTCTGAGGCCCGGTAAGGAGAGGAAGAGGAGAGGGGGGGTGTGGTTCTCCAATATCATACTCTAACACTAATTGGCCGAAACAGTAAGGGAAGGGAAACAGATAGAATTTGGGAGAAAACCAATATCATACAGTAATCCAAAAATCCAAATGAGACTGTCCAAGCAATTTGCAAAACAGGAAACAAATATCTAATTCAAAATAACAAATAAGAAACCAAATTTGAACCTAAACCACATAAAGCTAGAATAAAATAATACCAAAAATAATAAAAACTAAACACTAGATCCTCTATCACCAACACAAGATCAATCAGTTAAAAGCAGGAGCAACCTAAGAAGGAAAATTTATATCTGTTAGGATCCCACATTGGAAGGGAAAAGGGTGGGCATGTGGGTTATAAGGGCTTGGACACCCTCCCTTGACAAGTCGGTTTTCCAAGGAGAATTCTACCCAAGCCCATGAAAGACCCATGGCCTAACCCAATTATTGAGTTATTGGAGTGGGTTCCTATCCATTGGTATCAGAGCATGATCCTGTACTTATGTGACAGCGCACGCGTAGCAGGCTGACTTGTGGCAGGCTGATCTTGGGCCTGAGCTGCTACCCCGAGAAAGGGCATGGAAGCCCGAGGGAAAGGGGATCCGCGTAGTCACCAAATGGATAAAGAGGCCGACGTGGACGTCGATTGCGGAAGCGTGGTGGAATGTTAGGATCCCACATTGGAAGGGAAAAGGATGGGCATGGGGTTATAAGGGCTTGGGCACCCTCCCTTAGCAAGCCGGTTTTCCAAGGAGAGTTCTACCCAAGCCCATGAAAGACCTATGACCCAGCTCAATTGTTGAGTTATTGGAGTTGGTTCCTATCAATATCATAGAACAAAGAAAAAAGAGGGTAGGAACCAATTGAAACGAAAACAAAAATTCTCACTGCCACATCAAAATTATGTACACAAATGTGATCTATTTTTTTTTTTTTTTTTTTTTTAATAAGAAACAGAAGAAAAGACCGTATATGTCAAGCACCTACCAAATTACTTAAATACTTCTCTTATCATATAGTTTTCCCAATGTAATTTCTTGAAGTAGAACAGGGTCAGGACTCTCATTATGCCATTTTTAATCAAAGTAGCCCTTACCGTTTTCTTTGTTTCCAAATCAGTTCACTTTTAAAAAGTCATCCAACTTTGATTTGGCCAACCTTAACCCCTCTCCCTCCACATCCTCTCCTCTTTTTACTGTATCCTACAAGTAATTAATCTATAATAAAAAGCATTTAGGCATGTTTAAGTCCTTCAATAACAGCTGAAGTTGCAAGAGAAGTCTCCATGTTTTTCCAATCATTTAAGATCTTCCAATTGAACTATAGATATGATCAACAACAAAGCTAGAATTTGCAACTTTGACAATGAAAGTTCTGTTTCTACAAGACAACCAATTTTTTTTTAAAAAGAAACATATGCAAAGAAGAAATCTACTCTTCTCTTTATGATTTTACTCAAATTTAAGGAAAAATAACTTCTCAATTACATACCTTAAGGCTAATTAAAGCTACTCTATTTCCCGGCACTGAGTTGCTTTTCTCCATGGTCCATGTCATCGATTTGAGGCAGGGTAGACTTCCCTGTAGATCAATAAAAGCTACATATATATATATATATATGAAAAGTCCCAAGCTATTTAAAATTCCCATATATGACATGGAGTGTGCTTCTTGCTTCATTGTGATCTTAAAACCCAAAAATATGAAATTAATGCTTTCCAAATCCTAACTCCTTAACAAATCTTTCATAAACTATTTATGAATGTATGTATGTGTTCGTGCATGAGGAAGGATTTATGGCCCCTTTTACACAAATTTTTACGACAATTATAGACCATTGACTTCATACACTTAGGATGGTTGAAGTATGTCAATGTTAAACCCATTGTATTCTATAAATATAGCAGACAATAAATTACTAACCATACCAGGTAGGTAGGAGAACCGGCATCATGTTGGAATTGCATGGGACCCAAAGGTGCTACACTGCTATCAGCAATGACTGGTGCTGAAACTCCAAGATCATTGTGATTGAAATTGGTGATAGTATCATCTAGATGAGGCCACAGTGGAGTTGACACAGTAGATGGGAAAGATGGTAGCAAACTTGCCTTGACATGATAGGAAACAGTGGATCTTGGCAACAAATTCTGATAAGAGGAGCATCAACAACATAGTAATGAAATAAAAAGTGCGCATAGGAAAAGGTGAAGAGCAAACAAACCAACAAACAAATTCACTTTTAGCATAGTAAGGAAATTAAAACAAAAAGGTAAAAGAAGTTTTATATTCATACAAAAAAAAAAAAAATGCAAATTGATTACTGATACAAGACTTCACTATTAGCATAAAAACAACAGCAAATAACAAATGAGTGCAAGGCAACGCAGACTCTATAAAACATGTAATACGTACAAGAAAATTTTAGCAGAAAATGCAGATAAGAAAAGACAAAGCAGCATTTAATAGTTACCATTCTCTCCTTAAATCTAGGGATGTAAAATTTTATGACATATTGTAAGAGTAAGTATACAAAGTGACAAATGATAATCCTATATAAATTAATGACCTATGAAGCTCAATGGTACAAGCACAAACTAAAACATTAGATACGCGAACAAATATTTCCAACCTTCATATATGATTGTATAACATAAAAGCACCATTCAACTGAGCCACGTGATCTGCTAAGACTAATAACTGTGGATAACTATCTTTTAACTATGTTCAATTTGCATCTTCAGCCTAACTTATCATCATCTTTATACTTCAATACAGAGCTTGGAAGTATTTACTTCCATTAAAATATTAAATAGGTTTGAGAGAGGGTACCGTTTCCCCGGAAATTTCCTCTTTCCACTGATTCTGATATTTCTCAAGTAACAATAAAAGAATGCTTTGCAAATCAAGTGATAGATCTGGTGGAAACAGCTTCAAAAGATCATCGCCAGTGAAATTCTCACGTACACATTTTCTGATAAGCGAACGAAGGCATGCCAAAACCTATTGTCAGGCTTTTATACATTATTTGCATGTTGAATAAGTAGGAAGATCATGCACTTCATGAAACCACTAGCACAAATTTTAAAATGCCTTTGGTAATGCTGTCAAACAGTGTTCTTTCAAGTAAAAGCTGTTTCGTTATAGAAAGATTGGGAGCACTTTTGCCACCATTAGGAGTAGTGACAAATAGTTAAAAGTACTTATGTTTTAATTTTGAAGTGTTTTGTTAAATCAACTTTCCGGATAAAAAAAAAAAAGATTGACATACTTTTTGAAGAAGTAACTGATAAATTTTTCTTTCAAAGCACTATATAGTATATAAGTACTTAAAGTATAAGTTGAAACAGCAATTCATAGGTGCTATTCTTGAAAGCGCTTCTACTCAAAATTACTAAACAAAAGCACTTTACAATGCATGGAAAAGAGAGAAATAGCTTAAGAAACCAATCAAGTGTTTCTCCAAAAAGCAAGCATTTCTAGGTGCTTAGCTTACTAAAAAAATGCTTTATCAAAAAGCACTTATAAGTGATTCTGTTATGTCTTTGTATCCCAAAAATTGCTTTCCTCTATCTCAGACAAACACAGTAAACTAGAAACCAAATCCCTTCTACCTAAATGAAAAACCCATTTTACTGTCTCAAAAGCACTACCAAATGCAACCTAATTTTTTTTACAAATTAAAATCAAAAGAACCATATAGAATATAAGCACTTAAAGTATTCAGTTGAAACAGCAATTCATAGGTGCTATTCTTGAAAGTGCTTCTACCCAATATTACTAAACATAAGCACGCTAGAACGCATGGAAAAGAGCAAAATAGCTTAAAAACCAATCAAATTTCTCCAAAAAGCAAGCATTTTTGGGTGCTTCTTTTTTTGGGTGCTTCTCTTACTTTAAAAAAGAAAAAAAAAAATGCTTTATAAAAAAGCACTTATCAAGTGATTCTCTTGTGCCTTCGTATCCCAAAAATTAGACACCAAATCCCTTTTACCCACATGAAGAACCCATTTTACTCCAAATGCAACCTAATTTTTTAAACAAATTAAAATCAAACACACGCACACACAAGGTTAAACAATGTTGTATTTATGATTTCAGCTTTAAAATATGAGATGTTTTGTTCAGCACTTAGAATTCGAAGCAAAAAGCTAATCTAAACTCATTTTACTCCCAAATGCACCAAACTTTTTTAACAAATTAAAATCAAACATAAGCACACACAAAGTTAAATGATACCGTATCTATGATTTGAGCTTTAAATATGAGAAGTTTTATTCCACACTTAACATTCCAAGAAAAAGCTAATTATGAAAAGGAAATGCAACAGAAGAAAATTATTACAGGATCGAGTTGGGCGGGAGTAGGGAGGTTGAGGAGAGCCTGAATGGTAGATTTCTCGGCTGACTGAAGACCTGTTTTTCTTGTTTTCCAAAGCGTAGTGAGTATGTGGTCAAGCGATTCCTCTGAGTTTATAGGTGATAGCTTGAGCAGTTGCAGGTACAATGTCTCTGTCTCTCCCTCCATTTCAAAGCCCTCTACTTTGTGTTTGAGTTTAGGGCCTCATGCTCAACCTAATCAAAACGGCCGCCTCAACTCAACCCAATTCTTTATTTAATTTATTTATAAAAATTCAAATAAGCCCATTTTTATACCCACATAATATTTGTTATACCCAGTTTAACAAATATTATTACAATTAATTACTAAACAACCTAGTTAATTAATTAGAGAGAAAATATATAGATTCAGTTTAACAGATTAATTCATACCTGGATATCAATCGTCTTGAATAAATATTTTTTCTTGTTTCGAGTGTACAATTTAAAAGTAAACAAGAGATTGAGAGAATTTATCACAACTGAAAATATTATTTATTTTCTCTTGTTTAATATACACATGCTTCTCGTTATATAGAGAAGTTCATTCCCGATTTCAATTGAAATTGAATCCGTAAAAAGAAATAAAACAAAACTTACAAAAGTCTAAGCTATCGTAAAAAGCTTTAAACAATGTTCAGAAGTCTTAAATAAGACTTGACTTAGCTAAAGAAAAAGTAAATACAATTTTGACTAAACAAATTTTTAAACAAAGACACTAGGGTCCACATGTCTCCCATGTGCCTTATACAAGATATATTACAACCGACTAAAATATAAAAGTTACCATCCAATGCCTCTTTAAATCTGGATCGTTAAATTCTGTCGGCAACATCCTGGATGTCCACGTATTATGTTCCACTGTTTGATACACGTCAGCGTATTACGTGTTGGACATTTTCGTTTGTCCAAATTTCCATCCTCTTAGATTCGTATTAACCTTTGGAGTTATCCACTTCTATCAGGTCAATAAAATCTTTTAGAGTTTCATCTTCTTGGGCTTCTTGGTCGTGGGCTAAGACCAACCTTAGAAGATCAATAGTTCCTTCCATCAAGGCCTGCTTGGGTAGATGGGCTAATTCAAACCCTTCTAGTAGCGATCTTAACTGGGCCTGATTATGTTGAAAAAGAGTATCCTGGATCACTGCGTACCTATTTGGTATCACTACCACTATCCCATTTTGGATATGGACAATAGCATTTGCTTTTATAAGCTCCTCCAGTTTGGATTTAACCAGTAGCAATTTTGCAATATGCAACCTGGTCCAGTCCTCCTCTTCTTTCTTTTGGATTTCTTCTAGTGCATAAGAACCCATTTTTACCTCACTATCTAACATAATTCGGTACCATGGTTCTCCTACAAGAAATTCTCATATCTGTACAAGCTGAATATTATAGCTCTCTTGCAATGAAGAAGTAATCATGCAAGTGAATGTGTCGACTTTCCGATTCAATACACAGAGCATTTGTTTAACCGCATCTGACATATTCGGGTCTACCATTGCTTCCTGTATGTCAATTTGCATTGTATCGATCCATCCTTTAGTCAAAAGATCTCTACAGAAACCTTTTCTAAAGATTTTCCATGGAACGAACAATTCCATAGCTCCATTAGGATAAACTGCTAATCTTTGAACCAAATCCGTCAAGTCAGTCTTTCCCAATTTTACTATTAAATCATTCAAATTCTCGAGTTTGAGATTCGACATATCAAACAAATGACATTTTCTCATTACTTCAAGTTTTCGAATTCCTGCTTCGTAGAGTAAGGCAGTTCCCTTGAACTCCTCATCCTCCTAGAACAGTTTATCAGCTTCCAACCATGCTAACCTTCTTACTAGCTTTTGTAAACACCTCTGCAGTTGTACTTCCCCCTGACCTGTCGCCATTGCGATCCTAATTTGGGTTTCCAGATTCTCCCAGAGTGTTTGACCAGCTAAAGTTAATTTTAAGCCTTCTGGAAAACTAAACCTTTCATAAATATCCGCATCAATTAACCGCTTCTTTTGTGGAGTGTGTGGAGTCACCACGCTTGTAGCGCCTGATGATGATTCCTCAGAATTTTTTCTCTTTGACAGTGGATAATTAGCCCGTTCATGTCCTTCCTGTTTACAAGACCAGCAAGCTAGTGTTTTTTTTCTGAGTTTTGGCCTTCTTAGGAGTAATTTCCTTTTCAGAAGTATTTCCCTTCGTGGAAGTTTCACCCTTCAATCGTTGAAATTTCGGGTTCCTTCATTCCGAAGTATCAGAATCATAGTCATGATTCTTTCCTTCAACCTGCTTTGCAGCAGTCACCTGCTTATCCGCAGTTTTCTCCCTTTTAGTAGTAACCTTTGAAGTAAAAGTAATTCTCAAAGGGCAGTTCCTTCTCAAGTGTTCTCGTTGCTTACACTTGGATCATGAGAAGTGATTTCCAGTTTCCTTCTTATCCGCCATTATCTTGCAAGTCTTCAGAGAAATGTCTGGACAAAAAGTCGGCAACAAAGTTAGATTTACCAGAAATATATTCAAACTTGATTCTATAATCTGCAAACCAAATTTGCCATCTGATTAATCTAGATTTGTCATCCTTTAAAGACAGTTTCATAAAAGTTTTTAAATATTTGGAGTCTGTCCTTAAAGTAAATTCTTGACTGATAACGAACAATCGAAATCTGTCAATACATTCTTTTGCTGCTAAAACTTCCTTCTCATGAACAGGATAGTTTATTTTAGCAAGAGAGAATTTTCCTGACGCATGTCGAACAATCTGTTCAATATTATCAATACTCTTAGCCTTAAGCACTCCTCCCTAATACAAGTGAGATGCATCACTTTCTATAATGAGTTTATCCTCATCTTCCGGGAGTTTTAAACGTTTTAACTGCTTTGTCAAGGCTTTGGTCTGCTTAACACAATTAGTGTCTTCAAGTGTCCAATTCCAAGGCACTTTGTCACTAACCTTAAGCGTTAAGCCATTGATTACATTAGCGAGATTAGGAACATACTCGCGCATGTAATTGGCTAATCCAAGAAATTGCTGTAGCATGTGCTTATCCTCTATCACATCTAGAAAATCTAGCAACTTCTTTGAGATATGTTCTTGAAGTTGCATACCTCTTTCACCTATCTCAACGCCTAAGAACTTCACCTTGTTCTTAAACCATTCTATCTTTCTTTCAGATAGAATCATTCCATTATCAAGGAACCTTTTGCTCACTAGTCTAAGATGATTTACATACTCTTCCTTGGTTTTACTAAAAACCAAAACATCATTAACATAGACTATACAAAAGTTAGATAAGTCCCCAAAAACTGTATCCATTTTCCTCTAGAATATTGATGGTGCTTGCTTAAGTCCAAATGGCAATACCATCCATTCAAACAATCCTTTCGGATAGGTGAAAGCCGTCAAAGGAATGCTTGACTCAGCCATTCTAATCTGCCAGAATCCTGACTTCAAATCAAACTTGGAGAACATTTTTCCAAATCTAGCTTTATTCAAACAAGCTGATTTGTTTGGTATCATATAGGCATCGTCAATGGTTTTCTCATTCAACTGCCTATATTCGATAACCATCTGCGCTTTACCTCTTTCCCGCTCAGTTCTATTCATAACCATGAATGCTAGCGAAGAGTGTGGACTTTTACTGGCGCGTATCAATTGCTTTTCTAGCAATTCCAGTATTTGCTTACTGAATTCCTCCTCTGCATCAGGAGTATAAGGATAGGATTTGGTCACTATTTTATCATCCTTCCTTTTTAATTCAAGCGAAGCATATATACCGTTCCTTTCCCATAACTTTAATGGTTGATCATCAAAGCATGGAGAAAGTTCCTTTTTAAAGGATTTTACAAGTTGCTCAATCCTTAAAGAGTCCTTTTGGCTTTTGTTTTCAATCTTCAAGATTCTTTCCTTATGTATGAATTTATCCGTGCTCTCAGGACATGCACCAGAGGGGTCAACCTCCTGCGATATATCCTGTACGATCCGGTTTATACGATGACTAGGATACAATCTTTGAAAGAAAACATTACAAGCCTCATCCATCTTTTCTGCTTCAGAAGTTTTCAACCACCATCTTTTCTTTTCCAAAATCTGGAAAACAATGTGATCTACTTCTTGCCTTAGTTTCACCAGTCTAAAACCGTTCCTAACTTTTGAAACTTCAGGCTTAGCAAAAATAGGGATTTTATGACCTCCAAGGATAATGTGGTCGTTATCCTGAGTAAAATGCCTAACTTCTACTTGACCTCGCAGAAAGCTATTTCCGAGAATAAAATCTACCTCTAAGTAATCCACTACTAGAACTTCCCTTTGAGTGAATTTCTTCTCGTTTAGCAGTATAACCACGTTTTCTACCACATCCATGATCATACCTTGTCCTCCATCTACAACCGTATTTAGGATTGGTTTGTCCAATGGTCTCCAAAGCTCCTGTGGAAAACATTGCTTCCTTGCAATACATTTGGTTGCTCTTGTGTCTACAAGAATATCCAGAGTATATTCCTTATATTCTGGAAAACACAGTTTAGCACGTATGCATGTGTCAATAGTCCCCTGAACTATCGCATGACAATGCATTTCATGACTCATCATGATTTTCGTGCTTGGAGTTTCGTCTTCATATACTGGGATTTGCACAGATTTATACCCAACTATTTTCTTGCTACTGCTACTTCCAGTATCACTAGTAGTGTCATCTGTTTCCAGTATATTTTTCCTTGATATGATAGGTTGAACCTCTTTATTCCGCTCTAAAGCTACCAAGTTTCTAGGCGTAGGAAGAGTAACCTCAACCTCATTATCAAGTTTCTGGATTTGAATTCCCCGATTTGGGTTTAATACCACCACGCTGGGTTGCGATGAATAGTCCAAAACCCATCGTTTTGGCCACGTAAGAGCCTTAGCATTGACTACCGTAGGGCGAATTGGAATTACAGAATCTTGTCCCGGGCCATGAACTTCAGTATCAGCACTGGAGTTCATTTGTATAGGGTTAACAGAGTTTATCAACCGATAAATCAGCCTATACTGAATTGTTATTCCGTCACTAGAAGCCATCAAGTCTTCTAATCCTGAAGTATAAAGTCGAAGAACCATAATCCGTTTAAGATTTGGATCCATGAGACTAACCATATATCCTGGTTTAACCGTCCCGTAGGCAT